GTCGTTGTTGAGGATGCGGTCCGAGAGCTTGGGCGCGAGCGGGAGGATGGCGCGCAGCGTGGCCTCGCGGATGACGGCAACCGAGTCGTTGAAGCCGGTGATGAGGTTGGGCCACAACTTGTCGGTGACGGTGCGGTTGTCCATGCGCTCGACGTAGAGCGAGAGGTTCTCGAGCAGCGCCATGCGCGTGGATCGGTCGGGCGAGGCGTACGCCTTGAGCAGCGGCGGCACCACGTTGGCCGTCCACTCGTCATTGGGCAGCGGCTGACCCAGGCGCAGGACGAGCGGAAGCAGCACGGAGGCCTGCGTGCTGGCGGACGGGATGGTGCCCGGCGGTGGTATGGCGGAGAGAGCGGCGACGAGGGTGGGGAGCACCTTGTACATCAAAAAGTCGGGCGTGAACGAGTCGGGCTTCTGCTGGAGGAGCTTGATGATGTCTGCCTTCTCGTTTTCCGAGGCGAGCAGGAAGCCGTCGAGGCCTCTGGCGACCTTGACGAGCGTGTTCTCTTTGAAGAATCCGCCGTCGCCCTCGCCGGCCTCCCATACCTTGGCGACGGTGCTGCGCGTCTTGGCGTTGGGCACGAGCATGCGCTGGAGCGCCGAGTAGAGCTGCTGCGGGACGTGGCCGCGTGGTGGTGGTGCGGTACCAGTCTGTGGAGGCAGTGGCCCGTTGAAAGCCTCGATGGCGACGAGAGCGAGCGCATAGCTGTCGAGTAATGTGGAATCCATCGATGAGAGGACGTTCCAGCCATTCTGCCTCACTTCGGGTGGCGCATATCGGTTTGCGTCGGGGAGCAGGGAGGCCTGGGTGAAGAGCAGACCGTGAGGAGCCTCTGCGTGGGGGGTGAGCGCTTCAAACCCGGCGAGCTTCCATTCGCCTGCTGCGGTGATGAAGATGGATTCGGGACGCAGATTGCCGTGGGTGGAGGCAGCGTCGGCGTTGAGGAACTTGAGGGCGCTGACGATGGACGAGAGGCCCCATACGATCCAGTCCTGGCGTTGTGGAGTGGCGCGCTTGTCTTCGGACTGTGCGAGCACCTTGTAGAGCGGGGTCGCCTTCTCGACGGCGATGTAGACGGACGAATTGGTCTCTGCGCTGTCGAGGAGCTTGAGGACGTTGGGGTGGCGGGTGGTGCGGAGCTTCCTGGCGGCATTCTTTGCCAGGGGGAGGAGGTTGGCGCGGGTGGCGTTGTGCGGGTGGGAGAGGTCAAAGGCGAGGACGGTGCAGGCCGAGTTGTCGTCGCGCTTGGTGGCCGAGTAGAGCGACCAGAGCGAGCGAGAGCGATACTCGACGAGTTCCTGGCCGATGGTGAAGTTGGGAAGCGGGCCAGAGCGGGTTGCCGACAGCACCGAGGAGGCGGCGGAGCTGAGCGATTTGAAGTAGTCCATCGCTGCTCGTGCTCAGCCGCCCGGCCGTGTGTTAGCGAGCAATGATGGCGTGTAGATGAAGGTGGCGCTCAGAGTCGTCGCTCCCACGGTGTTGCTCCTTCTGCTGCTGCTGCTGTGCCGCTGTTGAGCTGCTAGCGCCCCTGTGATGCGGTGAGGATTGTGATGATGAAGAAGAAGGGAGCGGTGCGCGAGGTGTGTGAATGTCGGAGAGACCCGATTCCACGTTTCCAGGGTGCCAGCACGCACTCGCACGCCCACAGTCGGCGCGAAGAAAGCCTGGGTCCATCGCTTGGAAATCGGGCTGCACCCTGGCAGCCTTGCAACTCTTCCAACCCCTCGCCGGGTCGGGACGTGGACTCGGGTGTCGGAGATGCCGATCTTTGCCGCCATGCCGTTGGCACTTCACTTCTTCAACCCCAGAGTCACTCACCGGGCTGCCAGAGTGCGGCTCTTCCGGCTGCCATTGACTCCTTTGCAGCAGTCGTCGCCTCCAGAACCGGAAGGGAGCGTCGATGCCTCTGGGTGTGTTGCCAAGTAGAAGCTGCGTTCTTACAGTCGATGCTCGCTTCTGTCTGCCACTCAGTCTTGCGAAGAACAACAGTCGTTCCACGCTCTATAAGGTCGAGACCAAGCTTGAACCACCTCTTGGCTGCTGATGGCCAGCATCGCTCCCTTGCCACAAGTTGAGGCAGAGCAAGAGCAACACTTCACAAAGCAAAGCCACGCTTTGAACAATTTTAATTTAAAGAAAAATGAATTTAACCTTAGATGCTGCGTCACAGTGGAGCAGCAGCAGCAGCAGCAGCAGCA